TCACATCTCCACTCTAGGGTTAGGGTTCCTATTGGTAGGCCACTTGGAATTAGGGATAGGGTACCTATAGGTAGAGCGCCCAGCCCTGGGGTTAGGGTTCCTATGGGTAGGCCACTTGGAGTTAGGATTAGGGTTCCTATGGGTAGGGCTCCCCATCCTATGATTAGGGTTCCTATGAGTAGGCCCCTTGGAGCTGGGGATAGGGTTCCTATGGGTAGTTCACTTGGAGTCAGGGTTAGGGTTTCTGTGGGTAGGGCTCCCCGCGCTAGTGTTAGTGTTCCTAGGAGTAGGACACTTGGAGCTAGGTTTATGGTTCCTAGGAGTACGGTACTTGGAGGTAGGTTTAGAGTTGCTAGGGGTAGGGTACTTGGAGCTAGGGTTAAGGTTTCTATGGGTAGGATTCCCCACTTTCCGGTTAGGGTTTCTGTGGGTAGGATACTTGGAAGAAATGTTAGGGTTGTTATGGGTGAGTGCTCCCTGTCCTAGGGTTAGGGTTCCTATTGGAAGGATTCTTGGAGCTAGGGTTAGGGTTCCTATGGATAGGGTACTTGGAGCTTGGGTTAGGTTTCATATGGGTAGGGCGCCCTGCCCTACAGTTAGGGTTCCTATGGATAGGGTACTTGGAGATAGCTTCATTATTCCTGAACAACTTTAGCACGTATGGTTTTTTTAAATTTCTCCTGCTTTCTGTTAAGAAGCAGGGACACTGTTTTGATGACCTCGCAAAGCTGTTAGAGATGATGACTGAAGAGAGTCAGGTGTTTAAACTGTAAATACACAGCACTTTGCATAACTTGGGTTATGACGGGGTCTGTATGTATTCATTGAATATTCTATATTGTTGGTCCTAATCTTTTCCTGTTTGGGAGCCACATTTCCACTGCGGCCTTTTTGTTTTGATTTTACTCAAGACAGTTGGGAACATGTTTGAAGCAGAACCCAGGAAGTTTGGTGCATAAATCATCCCTCTAGAAACTCCTGTCCCTGTAGTGCTAAAGCTGGCTAGCCGCAGTCAGAGGCAAAGTACCAACAGAAAGAGACCGGGGAGGAAGAATTCCAGAGAGAGACTGTGCTGTGAATAAACTGGGTTTACATTTTGTGTAGAGCCAAAAAACCTGCATAGGACCGTGTAGTGCCTGCATGTGTAGCTGCCAGAGACAGTACTATAGTCACTGAACAAGCTACTAAAATTGGAGGAGCCTTGTTTTTTGTCTTTAAGATGTTTTGTTTTCTTGGCTTGGTCTGGAGTTTCTATTTATACGGCTTGTGTCATGAAGTGCGGATTCTGTGTGACTGTGTTTGTTTGGTCATCTATGTTTGGAGTCCTGTGTGTGTGTTTCTGGGCTGTTTCTTGCGGCTGCACTTAAATTGCCCGATATTTTATTAGTATTACTGCCTTTGCACCGAGCTGGGCCTCAGTCTGGTTTTTATTTGGCCAAGGTTTGTTCCTCAGGCTGCAGGGCTGAACGTATTCTTGCCTGTCTGAGGACAGAAAAACGGCCCTGACATTCTGTGTTTTACCTAGGAATGTGTGTGCCGGTGGGGCCTGCCGTCTGCCCTTGACCAGGCAAAATATGTCTGCTTAGCTTGGGCTAACGGCTGCCTGCAAATCTGTTTCCTGCCCAGGGTGTGTCTCAGGAGCACACCTATGATTCTAATTGAATCAGCAGAAAATGTCCAGGATCTGCAGTAATGAAAAATATCCTGCATTGCAGAACCTGCTTCCACTTGTGTCCAGTTATTATGGTGATGAGCACATTGGTAATCCCAAAGATAGACGCAGCACTCAGTAAAGATCTGGGCTCTTTACCACATGCCAACCCCACCCCCCTTTGAATACCAAAGGGATATATTGTATTGGGTAGAGATTGGCCCAAACAAAAGCCTGGATCCAAACATCCCAGTGTGTTGGGGAAGTTCAGATCCAGCTCCAAACTGCACAACTGGCCCCTGCTTTCTAATTCCATATACAACTGTGCATTAAAAGAGCATTATGGTTGCAAAGTGAAGCGTTTAAAATTCAGGAAATGCCACAGTTAATGTTGCCCACACAACCTTGACTCTGCCCCCTGTGTATTTATATTACCTTCCAGTTTCTAATTACTCTGTCAGATACAGTTTTCTCATTCAGGTCCCTCCCTCATGCAGTGTGGACGTTGCCTGGGAAATGTGGCGCTGTTCATTTAGTTTTTTATTCTCACTGCCCAGTGTATGAAGCCCTGCTGCATTTACTGCACATCGTCCTACCTGGAATCTTCAGCTGTCCAGTTAGGGGTAGAGCTCTGCTCAGGCCTACTCTTAAAGCCCGACCTGGACCTGAATCCAAACTGAGCACAGCTGACCCGAACCCGACCTGAGAGCGTTGAGTCATTTTTAGAACTGACCTGACCCCCATTACCCCACGAACCTGGGTCAACTTTATGTTCCTGCCAGATTTCAGGTTTCTGCTCCAAATTTGGTGAGGTGCTAGAATTGATCCAAAAAGGTCAGATTTGTAGGGTTTTTTTAAACAAGGCAAAAGGGTGTTCTTCCCACCGCCCCCATGCACACACACACATACACTCTTCATTTTTGAAAATCACTGAACGTTCTTTCCTCAACCGTCCCATAAAAATCAGCAGCTGGACTGAGAACAAATATTCTGAATTGCAGCTCAAAAGATAAATGTCTGACAAATTTATAGTAACCCGAAAACGATGCTCTTGAATGGAAATGCTGCTGGACCTTTAACAGGGTCCAAAACCTGCTGAGCTCTGGCACAAACTTGGATCTGGACTTTGCATTGAGCCAGAGTTTTCTGATGTCTTTCTTAACCCAGATTTTCATGATCAACCTGAAGCGTCGAAAAGACAGGCGGGATCGAATGCTGCGGACACTCTATGAGCAGGAGATTGCAGTCAAGATAGTAGAAGCTGTGGATGGCAAGTGAGTCTTTGGAAAGATCTGGTTCTGCATAGCAGAACTGTTGATTAGAAGTGCTACCTTGATTAATTTCAGTCAATTCTCTTTGATGCCCTGTGATTATGAGTTATCATTTTTAATGTACTATTTGGTGCAGTTTTGCAAAAAAACAACAACAACAAAAAAGTTTTCATGCTGTTATTTTATTCTTCTCTTACTCTGATCAGTCTCCGTTAGAGATCTGGTAAGATAGTTTAGGCCCAGAAGTAAAGTTTTCTTCAAGACAAAGTTCTCTGAATAGAAACATTGTCATAAAATTAAATAGGTGTATGATAATGAAAACATTTTTGTGGCATTTAAATATTCCCCTGCAATTTGTCCAATCCCAATGCTGCAGCATTGTGCTACATCAGTGGTTCCCAAACTTTAACAACCTGTGAACCCCTTTCACTAAAATGTCAAGTCTTGCGAACCCCCTCCTAACAATGAATATTTCCAGGAATTTTCTCCTTTATCTGATTATAAATTATAAAAGCAGTGATCTTGGAAATATAAAATTTGTTTTTATGATGCTTATTACACACTATTTATTATTTATCATTACAGTATTTTTATTACATTATGAAAATGGCAACACTCTTCCAAGATCTCACTTTCGTATCTTGTATCACTTTGAATAAGCCTTTTATAAGACAAGGCTCCTATGTTTCATCAAGGAGTATCAGATGTGAAACAGCAAGAAGGTATTTAAGAAGCCAACTCAAAGAGTTCCTCCTACACAAGCATTCAGGTCTTGAACAGTCCAGGCAAACAACGCACGCTAAAACAAAGCTTAAACTTGTTCTTAATAATTTTAAAAACAATACTAGCTGCCTATTTAATTTTAAAAAACAGCAAAAAATATCCACCTCCCTTTCTGTTGCTTATAAGGAGTCTTGACGTTTTAATCTCCTCAGTGTGATAGATAGGCTTGCTTTGATCTGCTTAGCTCTTGGAAGTCCAGGGGCTCCGGGCTTCTGGCCCCGTGCTGCCGAGAGTCCCTAGGGACAGTTCTGTCCGCCATTAGAGAATTTTTTCCGAGAACCCCCTGTAACATTTTGCAAACCCCAGTTTGGGAACCACAGTGCTACGTTATAGTAATGTAAACACAGATAAAGTTTTCTTTTTAGTTGTGACTCTCAAAGCAATGTACAAAATCTCCATTTTATACATGGGGAAACTGAGGCACTGAGGTTAAGGCTGGGGTTTACTAAGGGAGTCAGGTGCCCAAATCTCATTTGAAAGTCCAGGGCTGAGTGACTTTCCCAAGGCTTCTCAGGAAGTCAGTGGCACAGTTAGGAACAGATCTTGGGTTTCCTGGTGTCTCTCTGCCTTAGTGGCCTCTATAGTGCTAGGGCATTAGAACTTGAAAGTGAAACTGACCATAAGCAAATATAATACTGACTGCTCTAGTGCTGTTGTTCAAGGTGAGAGAAATGGAAAAGCAAACAAAACTCTTAGTGGAAGGTGAGCTAGGTGTTCTCTAGTCTTCCAGTGTGAATATAGCTATAGTGTTATTAACAATATGACAATGACCCTTTTAAGACTCTGCAGTTTCTTGAAACTGTTGGGGGTGAATGTCCTAAAAAATATCTTTTATGTTCAGCATGATTTAGATCAAATTAAACTGCTACAAATACACAGCCTATTTTGGGAACTTCCCTGGCTCAGGAAAGTCTTTTCACTGCTAAACAATTTCATTGTTTTTTTGCCTGAGTAAAAAATAGTAACATCTATAAAAGTTCTTAATACTGAAAGCAGCTCTCTCTTTCCTCAGGGCATTGAATACAAGTCAGCTGAAAGCTCTGAATATTGATATGCTACCTGGTTACCAGGATCCTTACTCTTCCAGGCCACTAACCAGGGGGGAAATTGGCTGCTTTCTTAGCCACTATTCTATCTGGAAAGAGGTAAATAATATCTGTGTTCTGGCAGTTGTATTATACTTGGATGCTGCGGGAAGGAAGTAATGTTTTATTTTTAGATAGTCTCTCTTATTTTGGTGTGAATTATCCAGGATCTCACAAAAGGTTCTGATTTTCAAAAACAGGAGCAGCAGTTAGGCTCCCAAGTTCATATCTGGGCACATAAGCAGCCTGATTTTCAAAAGTGCTGAGTACTGAGCAGCTCCTATTGTGCGGTCAGTTTGCAAACAGCTCCCAGCCTGTGTGACTGTGTCACACGTCTGGATTGTGGTCGAGACATTTTTCACAAAACTCTTAGCCACCCTGTTTGGGGCATTGTTGTGCTTGGGGAGAAAAAAAAACGAAGAAATTTTGTTGCAGGATTTCACCTATGAGTTTTTTCTGATTCTAAACCTGTGTAGAATTGAATGTCACCAATTCTGATGACCATTAACCTTCATACTGATTAAAGAGCATGGGGGGCTCAGTCCTGCTCTCAGTGGGGGGCTCGGCGGAGCTTCAGAGGGTGCAGAACTGGCCCCTCAATAGCATATGGGCCATTTCAGTCTCATTTGAAAACATCCCTTTTAGGTGGTGAACAGAGAGCTGGAGAAGACTCTCGTTATCGAAGACGACGTGCGCTTTGAGCATCAGTTTAAGAGGAAGCTCATGAAACTGATGGACGATATAGAGCAAGTCCAGCTAGACTGGGAGCTCATGTAAGTAGTCTTGTCCCAAGAGCTTTCACTGCCCTAAACCAGCTGGAAACTCTCTCCCCTGCTCCCACATGAACTGAGCATTTCAATAACATGGATGTACCCTCATAATAATCAGACACGGCTGCCTGCGGGGAATGCAGCATGGAAGAATAAAATCCCAGAGACTCAATAATGGGGGTTAATTTTAAAGGGGCTGGAATAGCTAAAACCTCCATCGAATGAAGCACATTGCGGGTGCTCTTTGATAAACAGGTGCCCACAGCGATATAGCCATGGCCTCCCAATAACCCCAGTTCCCCACTCCGAGCTAATTCCTGTGACACAGGGTGCATGTGCTCACTGTGAGGATGGGGGAGGAACAGGGTATTTGAACTCTTATGTTTAGTCATTTAAATACAAACTCATTCTCACAAAGAGAAGCAAGAGGAGAATGGTTCCGTCTAGCTAGCAAACAGACTGAGCTGGAAATCTTTATGTCCTGTTCCTGAAAACAATTCCAAGTTCACTGCCAAGGGAGCAGAGTTCGAACTGGCCAGCTGGAGAAGGGGGAGAAGACCTTTTAGGGGGCTCCTCCCCATGGCAGTTTTTATAACCCCCCTGCTGCTTGGTGCTTTCTGGCACTCAGGTTATGTGGGTCGCTGGATCAGTGCCTGTGACAGTCCAAAAGCAAAACGTTTTCTCTTCAGATGTATTTTTATAAGGGATAAGCTGTCTGGTGTCGCTGATTTATCTGGGCTTCATCCAGAGAAGGGATAAGGCTGGGGAATCACACCAACCCTCCTGTCTGTAGGATGATGGAGTTTTAACAAGAGGCTCCTGAGAAGCCTCCAGCACCTCACTGGATGCGCACCATAGAGAATTCAAATCCTTGCTTGGGTCAGGATGGCGCATTGGTTTTGGGACCCGTAGTCTCCTTGGACTGCACGGGCAGATGTGGCACTGGAGAATTTCAGGAGTAGCATTTGATTTGTGGGTGCACTTTGGACCTGATCCATGGTCCAGTGAAGTCAGTGGAAAAACTCCCACTGACTTAAAAGGCCTTTGATCAGCCCTGGTTGAAGTGGGAATGCCTGATGTCCCAGTTACAATATAATTGCACTGCAGAGCTGATCATGGAAACAGGCCTTAGTTTCCACTGTGGTGGGTTTTTCTCCCCTTCAGCTACATTGGTCGGAAAAGGATGCAGGTGCAGCGCCCTGAGAAGGCAGTTCCTAACGTAATGAACCTTGTGGAAGCAGATTACTCTTATTGGACCCTGGGGTATGCAATCTCCTTTGAAGGGGCTCAGAAACTAATTGGGGCCGAACCTTTTAGCAAGATGCTGCCTGTGGATGAATTCCTGCCGATCATGTACAACAAGCATCCTGTGTAAGTAAAACCCCTTCATTGCTTGGGAAGCCAGCCGGCTTTGCGTGAGCTGTACCTTGCTAACTGATCTTAAACTGGACGTTGTGTTGCTAATTATACAGTGCATCTCCATAGCATAACCTAGTAGGCGGAGCAGAGGACTGGATATTATGATTCTTGGATATTGCCAGCACTGCTGCAGATGTTGAGCAAATCTCCGGAACTTTCTGTGCTTGAATTTATGTAATAATATCCTACCTCAGAGAGGTCTTTTGGGATTCATAAATTTATATTTTTGAAGCAGCTGGTGATTTCTGATTGGAAGTAACTGTATAGGTGTATTATTATGATTATATAGATAGTGCCTACTTTGGAATGCCTTACCTGGCATAGGACCTGGAAAAGATCTCTGTGCAACTCAGAGCTTTTCTTTTTAAAAACCCTGCTTTTAGGGCTTTTTCAGAATCTACATGGCACTTTCCTACTTCGCTATGTTGCAGAATCCAGGGTTTTCATTTCAAAGGTGTGTGGGGCAGGGAGAAGTCACATCTTTTAACCAGCTCCCAGCCAGACTTATCAACATTGTCTCCCTCTTTGTGGGGAGAGTTCTGCAAGGCTCTCACTCAGAGCCCCGGACAGTAATGTGGATATCAAGATATGGGAGGAATCTGTTTTCAAGGGTGGATTTCCTTGTTTATAAGAAAACTAGGTTTTTTTTAAATTCTGACATAAAGCTCCCTCTAACCTTGTTTCCAGAGTCCAGTTACCCATTATGACATCTCCCCAAAAGAATTTGGGGTGCCACATCATTGGTCCCTGCTTCCAACAGGTGCTGCAGTGTCCCTCTGACAATTGTCTTCTAGTCCTGTATACAGGCTTAGTGGAACCTTTGATAACATATCTGAGACAGGCCTTTGTTCTGCTCCGACAGCCAGTTCCCCTAACTGGCCACACCACTTACTCTGTGGTAGCAGGGTACACTCTTTGGCCTTATCTGCATCAGTAGCAGCTTCTCTGGTGGTAGGGACACTGGGAGCACTAATGCAGACAGGCTGCCATTGACTAACCATTGGGTTGCCCAGAACAGGTCTAGATGGGATTGGAAGTTGTGGTGCTTAAAATGCCAGCGGCTAGTTGATCACTTTGCTAGCAACGGGGGAACTGTGCTGGTAGCGATGCCACAGAGGGAGATTTTAAGAGACAAAGTATAGACAAAGCCTTTGTTATCTCTTGCTCCCATTGGAGTCGATGGGAGTTTTACCATTGATTTCAGCAGGAGCAGAGTTAGGCCACCCGTGAACTCATCTAAAAATGGCACCCCAATGGTGCAAATAAGAAATGATACAGAGGCCCAGCAGTTGAATACCAAATGCCAACTCACATATCCAGGTATCTCTGCCATGCTGGGGCTACAGTCACAGTAGAATTTCCAGATGGATCCAGTATACTTCCTGTCTTGTTCTCTCATAGAGTGTTGCTATTCAAATAGCTGCAGGATCCCCCTCCCTAGTGGCAGATGAAGTGCATGGTTTCTGAAATACTTTGTCATTCTTTAGGATCCTTTATTTTATTGTATAAAAATCACTTTTCCAAAAGGACTAATAGTGTCCTCACTGCTCAGTTCATCTCAAGCCTTCAATCATTTGCCCAGGTTTCACCCTGTGATGAGCATCTAACCCTAACGACTAGTCCTAGCTCAGTAGATTGGCTCATAACCGATGGAAAGGCAAGGCAAGTACAGTGGTGCCAAGCAAGAGTTATTTCTGCTAGTAATATTTGTTTTCCTTTCTTTAGAGAGAAGTACAAGGAGTACTATGAGTCCAGAGACTTGAAAGCCTTCTCAGCAGAGCCCTTGCTTATTTATCCGACCCATTACACAGGGCAGCCGGGTTATCTCAGTGACACAGAGACATCCACAATCTGGGACAATGAGACCATGTCGACTGACTGGGACAGAGCCCATTCCTGGAAGTCCCGGCAACAGGGCCAGATCCACAGCGATGCCCAGAACAAAGATGCCTTGGCCCCCCAGCCATCTCTCGATGCATCGTCGTCGAGGGACGAGCTATGACTGCCCCCCTTGCTAAGTAACTCTGACAACAACAGTGGAACCTGCCTCACAATTTAGCTTTCACCTAGAAGCTTCTAGAGACGTCAATGTGGTCTCCTTCTCGCCGTCTTTAGCGGCAAAGCAAATTGATTGGATCCGACTGACTTAACCTAACCAATCTTTATTTTTTTGGGAAAGGGAGTGGGGGGAGGGGCTTGAACCAGAACATTCCAGATTGGCAGAAAAACAGAGACTTCTAAAAAGCGTATCGTAAACTCCAGTCCATTCTCACAAGGGTTCGTAACTTTGAAACCTCTGTGGAGTGGCGAGCTGGCTCCATGGCGCACTGAGTTGACACTAGTAATTACAAAATTTCCTTGAATGACGTCTTTCTACAGTTCCTGGTGTAGAATACTGTATTTATAAAGATTAATATATATAGGGGTTCTGAGGTGGACACGTGTAAGTCCTTTCCAGATAGTTGTCACTGTGCTGCTGCATAACATTAACTGTTGTTGTTGATTTATGTTTTTTAACCCCATTCTCTGAGAGAATGTGTGTGTGTGTGTGTGTGTGTGTGTGTGTGTGTTTTAAAGGATCACTGTCAAGATCACAATGACTTCAAAAATGGCCTCATCTGTGTTGCTATCTACACCTCTTCCATAACGTGAGTCCCCATTTCACGTTGCAATACAAAACAGTTTCAGAAGTTCTCTCTCCTACATTTCAAGACACCCCTCCCATTCCATCTAGCCATAAGGAAAGAGAGGATGGTCACAGTCTCCTAAGACATGTCTGCAACCTCCTAAACTGATGCCTTAGTTGTTTCAGTTTTAATAATCTATTTTAAAATCCATTGTGCTTTTTTGCCACTTATGTGCTTTGTTTTCTTTTTTTTTTTAATGTGTTTCATTCAGACTGAACAGTGAAACTAAATCAGCCAGTCCTACTTCCTGTTAATGGTCAGTTTCACTTCCTGTTTCTTGGCTACAAACCTTTTAGGTTTCCTTCCCAATTAATATAATAAAAAAACTATTTCAGTTTCCTCACTGATAGGTTTGGGCCTAACCTACTTGACAGTGTCCCTTTAAAAAGAAAAGCATGAAAATGTTAATGGTGTCAAATCTGCTGTTCTTTGTTGAATGGCTGCATTAGAATTGTATACTGCAGGACAAAAAGGCAACTTGCCTTTTATATATTTTTAAATGTGAGGAGTGAGCTTATTCTGGTTTGGATGAGTTCTGATCTACTCAGTATTGGGTAAGATGTCAGCATAGTAAGTCATGTTGTTTTTTAAAGTGTCCCATAAGGCAGGTGATCTTGTGCTACACTTCTTAGATTTAGTTGATGTAGATTTAGATCTTTTTCTGTGCAACACAAAGTTGGGGGGGGAGAGGGAAAAAATCCTCCTGGCCTAAAATTTAAAGAGATTGTTTCACTTTCTGGATGAGCTGTACATTGGAGCGTGTGGTTGGTTTTTGTTTTTTTAATAATTGCTGATAATGTTGTGCTCTCTCCTAAAGAAGACATGTTACTGTCTATCAGCAGGTCTGATAATACATAGAACTGGATGCAAGCTGATTAGCTGTGTGGAGTCTTAATTTACGTGGAGCTCTTGGACTGAGAATGCTGGGTGAGCAGGGCTGGGGTCTGCCATGCTGCTTTGGGGCATCTTCACAGCGGTGTTGAAATAAGGCACAAAAAAGTAACAAAGAGACACAAAGATCATAGCTACAACATTTTGGAGCCTGATGGGGCTCTCAGTGGAGTCAGTGGGACTCTTGCACTTAACCAAATCCAATTTAAAATGTAAAATTTTTGTGAGCCTGTTCCCCTGGCCCCTAACCGCAAACACATGTTCCACAACTGCCCCATGTGGTGCAGCCTCGTCCACACCCCAGGCTGAAGAAAGTGGCCTAGTCATGAAACTTAGCACATGTGGAATAAGGATTGTGTAGGGTTACCATATTTTAGTTTTAAAAAAGGAGGACACTCCACGGGGCCCCGGCCCCGCCCCAACTCCGCCCCTTCCCCAAAGTCCCCGCCCCAACTCTGCCCCGTCCCCTGAACGCTCCGCCCCCTGCTCCTCCCCCTCCCCTGCTTCCCGCGAATCAAATGTTCGCGGGAAGCCTGAAACAGGGAGGCAGCAGGTGGGCTGGGGCGGGATGCGGTGCGGCCCAGTCTGGCCCCCCCTGGCCGAGTGGCTCCCTCTGGCGGCTGGCCGGCCCAGGCCAAGAGGCCCTGGCTGAGCATCCCCGGCCGAGCACCGCTGGCCCCAGCCCCGGCCCCGGCCCCCGGCCTGGCCCGGCCCTGGCCCCCGGCCGAGCACTGCTGGCCCCGGCCTGGCCCCGGCTCCCGGCTGAGCACTGCTGGCCCCGGCCCGGCCCCAGCCCCGGCCGAGCACTGCTGGCCCCGGCGTGGGCCTGGCCCC